GGCATGCGGGCTACATGACCCAGCCATCGCAGCCTTGCCCGCCGGAGGAGCGCACCGATGGGACCTTGCCCAGATCTTTCAAGGATTTGTGAGCTCCTCATACAATCCAGTCTGGTTAAACCCAGGATGGATCGTAGGCAGGCCAGCCTAAATGTTTCTAACCGGCGAAGATGTTCCATTAGGGGGGTCCACGCTTCGCAAGCGTAGAGAAGGGAGGGAATGACCGTGGCCGAGAAGACCTGAAGCTTAGTGCGGAGCAACAGACCAGGTAGCTTCCACACAGCGTTACGCAACCGATGAAAAGATATTGCCGCTCGACTGATTCGGAGTGAGACCTCTGCTGTTAAACTGGAGCCGGTCATAAGGACACTGCCCAGGTATGGGAAACTCTCCACTCTCTCCACAACTGCCCCATCACCGATTGGGAGTTGTGGGGGTGGAGTGTCCGATGGTACAAAATACCCAGGCAGGTGCTTAGTTTTGGTGGGGCTGATGGTAAGGCCCCATCTCTTAGTGGCACGCTCCAGTCTCAGCAGCAGCGTCTCCAACTCCTCCTCTGAATGAGCAGCTATTACCAAATCATCAGCATACATAACGTGGTCGAGCAATAAGGAGCCATCCCTTGACTGCGCCCAGGCATCGATCAGCCTCCCATTATATCTGTACCATTTGGAGATTCCCCCGGTACAGCTATTGAAGGCTTCACGAACTACGTGCTCAAAATAGATGTTAAATAATATGGGAGCCAGAGGACATCCCTGTCGCACCTTAAGGTGTACAGGAAATGGCTCTGACTCCCGGCCACGTAGTTTTACCCAGGCCCGGTCACCATTATGAAGGTCCTTAATGATTGTGAGCAGAGGGTCAGGGACTCCAAAAGCACGAAGAACAACCCAGAGCCCAGGCCTGCTGATGGTATCATAGGCCTTGACCAGGTAAATAAAGCAGAGATGTAGATCTTGCTGGAATTACCTACACCTCTGCTGTAGCAGACGGACAGAAAATATGGCATCTGTGCAGGACCGCCCTTTCCTGAAACTGCATTGGGGCTCTGCAAGCCTCTCCTCAGCGTGCCTGGCAAGGCGATGTTGAATAATCCTTGCCAGGACCTTTCCCGGCACACTGAGGAGTGAGTTGCCCCTGTAGTTGTTACAGTCTGTGCGATCCCCCTTCTTAAAGAGGGGGGACCACCAGGGCATCCTTCCAATTCTGTGGAACCCGTCCAGTGGTCCAGACTGTTGTTATGATGTCATATAGGGCAGTCTGTGCACAAACGCCACCCTCCCTCAGCATTTCGCTTGGGAGATCATCTCTGCCCGGTGCCTTTCCTGGTTCAGACTCCGGATTGCTTCAGTACTTCCTCAACAGATGGCACTTCAGCCAGCCACTCACAGGGGATGACTTCTTCCAATATTTGAGGCACCGCAGCCTCAGCAGTGTCATCCTCACTTTGTGCCACGATGTTTTCCTGGCTGAGGGATTTTCCCTCCCTCAGGACCTCACAGAAATGCTCAGCAAATCTGCAAACCTGTTCCTGGGGGTCGGAGATTGGATCACCGTTTATTCCCTAATGATGTAATAGGTATGGCGCTGCAGGCTACTTTTTTGATGGAGTTAAATAGAGATTTGTGATCATGGGCCACTGAGGCAGACTCCATCTCCTCAGCAACCCGCGACCACCACCCATCCTTGCAGCGCCTCACGGCTCTCCGAACCTCCAAGCGAAGGCTGCGGTAAGCCTCCTCATTTCTAGATTTTACCGAATAGAACCAAAGAGTAAGCCTCCTCAATCTCTGACGTGGGATTCTGTAGCCGATGACAGTGGGCTTGTCGCTTTTTCTCAACCATCCTGACCACCTCCTCTGTCAGCCAGGGTCTCTGGGGAGGTCTGGACCACGTACCCAAAGCAGCCATTGCAGCTGCATGAGTCACAGTCCTAAACTTCGCCCATTTACCCTCGACATCAGGAGGAGTGGGGGGACGATGCCAACCCCAGCCACAGGCGATGATTAAATTCTCGCTTGCAACTTTCATCAGATAATTGAGACCAGGCCACTTTTGGTTGGAATGGAGTCCTGGGTGTACACCCACCACCGGAGCGGAAGAATGGCAGGCGCATCTTACAGATGACAGGTCGATGGTCAGAGGGCAGATCAGCTCCACGGTAGGTCCTGTTGGCAAGGCCATGGGCTCGCATCCGCTGGTCCGTCACTATGTAGTCCAGCAGATGTTCTTGCTTGGACCCGGCATGCATCCATGATGTTGTGTGGATGCGCCGATGCCGGAACAGCGTGTTGGTAATTACAAGCCGATGGGCTGTACAAAAATCTAGCAGCCTCCTACCGTTGTTATTAAGCTGATCCGGCCCATGCCCTCCAATCACTCCAGACCAGGTGCCAGCATCATGACCAATTCCGGCATTGAAGTCATCCAACAAGATGACTCTATCCCAAGGGGCCACTTTAGCCAGCACCTGTGACAGGAGGTCATAGAAGGCATCTGACTCATTGGCTTTGCCTGCATCCCTCCACGGATGTTCGTCTTCAGTGGGGGCATAAGTAACCACGACCACCAATCCTCGCCTCCGATTGATGGGAAAGTAGCCTGGGGCTTACAGCTTACAGCTTCCCATACCTCACCGCCACGCTCCCACGCCCCCTTTATTCTTTTTGTTCAAAAGGAGAGCCACACCCTGTTGTTTTGACAGTCTGCTGCCCCGAGTAGAGAACTGTCCACCCTTCATGGTGGCAGAAGCCAGAACCGGTCCACCGGACCTCCTGAATGCCACAGAGATCCAGGCGGCACCGGTCCAGCTCCCGACAGAGGAGTGGCAGCCTCTCCTCCGCAGTGAGCGTTCGAACATTCCACGTGGCCACACGAAGTGGCATTTCATTGTTTCTGGAGGAGCCCCGAGGGTTGAGATTCAATCTCCTGGCTCCGCCATTTGGGGTTTGGCCAGGAGACGTCATAGATGCCTGTCCCCCCGGGGCCTCCGGCACAAGCTTATTAGTTACATAGTTAAGTCGTAGTTTCCTGGTAATTTTTTGAAGGTGGAAGGGTTATCAGCCCCTCGCACCCGTCCAGAGCCCCCGTTTAGCCCCTTTGGTGGTCACAGACGCCATGAGGGGAGGAGCCAATCGGAATTGGCCCTTCCCCCGCAGCACTGTCCACGAGAGAGTTGCCCGTCCGGCACGGCGAGGAGGTAGGGGGTTGTCACACACACACAGTCACACACACACAGACACACGACAGATCCCCCATATAGCCTTAACAGACTGTGGGGAGCGAGTGTGGTGGCCAGCACCACGCCCGACCGCCTTTGTCTCCTTAGTGGCGATGTTTACACACCGCACCAGGTACTCATTTGAGGCTGAGTCGACCTAGGGGAGGCCCGAGACCGGTTCAGATAATCGTCACCGGTGTTGGCCGTGAGTGGGAATCAAACCCGGGTCGCCAGGTTCATAGCGCAGCGTAGCGCTAACCGCTACACTATCGCTCCCCACATTTTGAACGGACACACATTCACACCTTTGCCTTTTATATATATGGAGATAACGCGGTGATTAATGTAACTGTAGGGGTACAGGTCACGTGGTGATGAATGTGATTATAGGGGTACAGGTCACGTGATGATGAATGTGACTATAGGGGTACAGGTCACGTGATGATGAATGTCATTATAGGGGTACAGGTCACGTGATGATGAATGTGATTATAGGGGTGCAGGTCACGTGGTGATGAATGTGATTATAGAGGTACAGGTCACGTGGTGATTAATGTGATTATAGGGGTACAGGTCACGTGATGATGAATGTGATTATAGGGGTACTGGTCACGTGATGATGAATGTGATTATAGGGGTACAGGTCACGTGGTGATTAATGTGATTATAGGGCTACTGATCACGTGGTGATTAATGTGATTATAGGGCTACTGATTACGTGGTGATGAATGTGATTATAGGGGTACAGGTCACGTGATGATGAATGTGATTATAGGGGTACTGATCACGTGATGATGAATGTGACTATAGGGGTACAGGTCACGTGATGATGAATGTGATTATAGGGGTACTGATCACGTGATGATGAATGTGACTATAGGGGTACAGGTCACGTGGTGATGAATGTGATTATAGGGGTACAGGTCACGTGGTGATGAATGTCATTATAGGGGTACTGATCACGTTATGATGAATGTGATTATAGGGGTACAGGTCACGTGGTGATGTCATTATAGGGGTACAGGTCACGTGATGATGAATGTGATTATAGGGGTGCAGGTCACGTGGTGATGAATGTGATTATAGGGGTACAGGTCACGTGATGATGAATGTGATTATAGGGGTACAGGTCACGTGATGATGAATGTGATTATAGGGGTACAGGTCACGTGATGATGAATGTGAGTATAGGGGTACAGGTCACGTGGCGATGCATGTGATTATAGGGGTACTGTTCACGTGGTGATGAATGTGATTATAGGGGTACTGATCACGTGATGATGAATGTGATTATAGGGGTACAGGTCACGTGGTGATGAATGTGATTATAGGGTGATCACGTGATGATGAATGTGATTATAGGGGTACAGGTCACGTGGCGATGAATGTGATTATAGGGGTACAGGTCACGTGATGATGAATGTGATTATAGGGGTACTGATCATGTGATGATGAATGTGATTATAGGGGTACAGGTCACGTGGTGATGAATGTGATTATAGGGGTACAGGTCACGTGGTGATGAATGTCATTATAGGGGTACTGATCACGTGATGATGAATGTGATTATAGGGGTACAGGTCACGTGGTGATGTCATTATAGGGGTACAGGTCACGTGATGATGAATGTGATTATAGGGGTACAGGTCACGTGGTGATGAATGTGATTATAGGGGTACAGGTCACGTGATGATGAATGTGATTATAGGGGTACAGGTCACGTGATGATGAATGTGATTATAGGGGTACAGGTCACGTGATGATGAATGTGAGTATAGGGGTACAGGTCACGTGGCGATGAATGTGATTATAGGGGTACTGATCACGTGATGATGAATGTGATTATAGGGGTACTGATCACGTGATGATGAATGTGATTATAGGGGTACAGGTCACGCGGTGATGAATGTGATTATAGGGTGATCACGTGATGATGAATGTGATTATAGGAGTACAGGTCACGTGGCGATGAATGTGATTATAGGGGTACAGGTCACGTGATGATGAATGTGATTATAGGGGTACTGATCATGTGATGATGAATGTGATTATAGGGGTACAGGTCACGTGGTGATGAATGTGATTATAGGGGTACAGGTCACGTGGTGATGAATGTCATTATAGGGGTACTGATCACGTGATGATGAATGTGATTATAGGGGTACAGGTCACGTGGTGATGTCATTATAGGGGTACAGGTCACGTGATGATGAATGTGATTATAGGGGTACAGGTCACGTGGTGATGAATGTGATTATAGGGGTACTGGTCACGTGGTGATGTCATTATAGAGGTACAGGTCACGTGATGATGAATGTGATTATAGGGGTACAGGTCACGTGATGATGAATGTGATTATAGAGGTACAGGTCACGTGATGATGAATGTGACTATAGGGGTACAGGTCACGTGATGATGAATGTGATTATAGGGGTACAGGTCACGTGGCGATGAATGTAATTATAGGGGTACAGGTCACGTGATGATGAATGTGATTATAGGGGTACAGGTCACGTGATGATGAATGTGATTATAGGGGTACAGGTCACGTGGTGATGAATGTGATTATAGGGGTACAGGTCACGTGATGATGAATGTGATTATAGGGGTACAGGTCACGTGGCGATGAATGTGATTATAGGGGTACTGATCACGTGGTGATGAATGTGATTATAGGAGTACAGGTCACGTGGTGATGAATGTGATTATAGGGGTACAGGTCACGTGGTGATGTCATTATAGGGGTACAGGTCACGTGGTGATGAATGTGATTATAGGGGTACAGGTCACGTGATGTCATTATAGGGGTACAGGTCACGTGGTGATGAATGTGATTATAGGGGTACAAGTCACGTGGCGATGAATGTGATTATAAGGGTACAGGTCACGTGATGTCATTATAGGGGTACAGGTCACGTGGTGATGAATGTGTCTATAGGGGTACAGGTCACCTGATGATGAATGTGATTATAGGGGTATAGGTCACGTGATGATGAATGTGATTATAGGGGTACAGGTCACGTGATGATAAATGTGATTATAGGGGTACAGGTCACGTGATGATGAATGTGACTATAGGGGTACAGGTCACGTGATGATGAATGTGATTATAGGGGTATAGGTCACGTGACGATGAATGTGATTATAGGGGTACAGGTCACGTGATGATAAATGTGATTATAGGGGTACAGGTCACGTGGCGATGAATGTGATTATAGGGGTACTGATCACGTGGTGATGAATGTGATTATAGGGGTACAGGTCACGTGGTGATGATGAGAGAGAGAGAGAGACACAGACTATAAATACACAGCAGCAGCAGGCATCTTCATGGTCACGGGATGGAACCCACAACCTCCTGTAGACCAGGCGAGGTAGTTAATAATTAAATAAAAATTAAAAGTTTTTTGAAAATAATAAAAGCAAAAAAACCCCCACGACGTTTCGATCGCAACAAAAGCGGTTTTGATTTTTTTATTTTAATTTATGATTTTTATTTTCCAAATCTGTGAGCGAAAGAGCTTCACAGCTTATCGGATTCCTCCTGATCCTGCACGAAGTGTCCTGCCCAACGCTCATTGGCCACATCAAAATTAATATTCATGAGCCGTCGATGGCGTGCGCGCGTCTCACCATTAGTCGAGACGCGTCATTAACATAATTATTTCGGCCCGATGCCAATTGGTCGAGGCGCCCCCACCTCTCGCGCAACCTCATTAGCATAATTTATACCATCACCCTCTCTTTTCCCTCCCCCATCTGCTTACAATTCATGGACGAAACCATCGCGCGTTGAGCATTAATATAATTCATCTTCTTTGGTTCTTTCGGTAAAGTCACGTGACTTTACCGAAAGAACCAAAGAAGATGAATCATTGCAGTCACGAAAGCTTTAAATCGGAACATTAATATAATTGCTGCGACCCGCTCCCAATTGGTCGTTTCTCATCTCGTGTCATTAACATAATTTATGCCACCCCTCCCCCCACCACCTGTTTACAATCCATGGACGTGACCAACGCTCGAGCTCATTAAAATCCGTGGGCTCGCACGCGCGCCTTTCCTCTATTGGCCGAGGGGCTCTTGCCTCATTAACATAATTAATGAATAATTAACGAAACCGGCTCCCGATTGGTCGCGACGGGGGGGGGGGGTGGAATCGGGCCGCCGCGCCAACGCAATCAACGCGCTCCGGACTCCCCATTGGCCGACAGGCTGCGGCCGCCGCCGCACCGCGCCCCCCTCCTTCACACCCCCACCGGGACGTTAACATAATTTACGTAGCTCCTCCCCCCAACCAACCACCCCCCCCCCCTTTTAGCCCCGCCCCATCCCCTCCAATCCGTTTGCTATATAAGGACGACCGCCCGCCCCCTACGACTCCCCTTCCCTCTCGCTCAGCAACAGCGGAGGTCATCAGCAACACCTCCCACCCGTCCCCGTCCACGGTTTTCCATCCGCTTCCATCCTCCTCCGCCTTTGTCTTCTCGACAAAATCAACGCCATCACCACCGCGACAACCCCCACCCACCCCTTTTCCTTCTCTCGCTTTTTAAAACAACAAATCAAGCAAACACGATGGCGGACTACGGAGACTACTCGTCCAACGGCGCCGGCTACGACTCTGTCGGCGGTGGCGGCGGTGGAGCAGGAGGGCCCGGCTCGGGCTCGGGCGCTCAGGACTTCTCAGAGCTGACGGCCGACGACTATCAGATGATGGATCAGGGTGGCGATGGCGGCGGCGGTGGCGGCGGCGGCGGCACCGGCGGCGGTGGTGGTGGGCCTGGCTCGGCTGGTGGTGCTGCCGGCTCTGTTGTGGCCGGCGGAGGTGGCGGCGGGCACGGCGGTGAACAGTCGGGCGGCGGTGGCGGCGGCGGCGCGGGCGGCGGAGGGATCGTCGACGAGGAGGGGGCGAAGATCAACGCGAGCCGGGGCGAGGAGGATGACGGGTAAAGTGGCACACAAACGACAAGGGCGGTGGGGGGGGGGTGTGAAGGAGCAATGGCGGACGCGGCTGTAGTGGTGTTGGTGAAGGAGGAGGTTGTCGAGGCGGCGGTGGTGGATGAGAATGAGGTTGTGGGCGAGGTTGTTGACGAGGTTGTTGACGAGGCGGAAGCCGAGGAGGCTAGCGACGGCGACGACGACGATGAGGATGAGACCGAGGAGGAGGAGGCGATGGCAGCGATGATGATGGGAGAGCGCCTCTCGAAAAAGCGAGGCCGCGCTCAGCGAGCGCCTCGGCCACACAAAAGGCAGGCGAGGGGGCCCGCGGGGGGTGGTGGCGGTGGCGTCGCGCGGTGTGGCGGGAGCGCTTGGGGACGGTTTCGGGGCGGATGGCCGCGGATTTGCGGTGTCGGTAGAGAGAGAGGGAGACGGACGGGCAAGCGCCGCCATTACTGATGTTAGCTATCGACCGACCCATCCCCAGCAACCGGCCCGTCGCTTTCGTTCGAATAAATGGCGATGATTCGTGGGAGCTAGACTGTTAAGTTGGACGTCGTTGTGCCCGCTGGGGTTCGGGCTAAAGGACGGTGGCGTTTGTACGCGTCGATGGCGTCGCTTCGACGGCGGATGCGAACGGATTTAATGTTGTAGGCTTTTTTAAATAAGATGACGCGGGGGGGGGGGGGAATGGGAGACCTTGAAAACTGCGGCCCGCGCGCGCGCATTGAGAATGGCGGCGCTTTAGCGCGGGAAAGCGATTTTTTATTATTTTGTGTTTTTCAACGCGCTTTGAGGAAAGAGGGAATATAAATCGTTTTAATAGTAGCGTGGTTTATTTTATTAATCGATTGTAAACATTTTAACGATCGATGGCGATGTTTTAAAACGCACGATGCCGACCGATTTCTCCCCCCCCCGCCCCCAATGACGTTTGGTTAATGGCGGGAAGAAGGGAAGTAGGTTGTTTTGTTTTACTTTTAACGACGAGAATGGCTTTAAGCCGACAACGAAACGTTTCAATAATCGCCATTCCACAACGGGCCCCGTTTAATCTCGCGAGCCGTAACGATGTTAGGGGCCGATGGTGATGTTTGACGGTCGGATGCCGTCGGATTTCGTGTCGTTGTGAAGGCATGGCGCCGATGGCCCCCTTGTTCGCGGACAACGGCATCGGGCGGCTTACAGATCATTACTCTTAAACGCAATTACGCGGTCGTGTTTACAAATCGTCGTATTTTTTGCGCGTCCGTCGGGAACGCTTGGGGGGGTCCCGATGGCGGTGTTTTTAAGGGCAGATGCAGACGGATTGCGAAGGGGTTTATTTTGTTTTTTTACAAACCACGGCCGGCAGCCATTTTATACGCGGTCGGTTTTTTTTTAAAATGGACATTTTCTGAAGCCACATTTATTAATCCCCTTAATTCTTGAACCCACACTTCCAACCCGCGTGAAATTATTATTTTTTACCGCCTAATTTTTTTTTCGTTTGTTACGTTACACTTGATTTTTTTGATATCCACGTTTATTTAAAATCTTAGTCGGGTCTTTTTTTTGGTAATGCGAGGCCCCACTTGGGTTACATAACACGACATCTCAACATCTCAGCTCTGCTGAAATGTTCCCCGTGTGTTGCCCCGAACCGCCCCTCCACGTGTTGTTCCTTGGGGTCTGGCCATCCTCTAGGTCGGTTCGGCCTAAAGCAAGAGGTTATAAAACAAAAATTTCCATTAAACTTTGTTGGAGGATGTCGTTTGGGCCCTCCTAGGCTGGTTCAGGAGTTCGATTTGCTGGATTATTTTTTTTTTCCCGCCCGAGGCGTTGGGATCGAAACGCCAATGCGATTAGTGTTATTTTTCTATCTACTCGAGCTGTTATCCCTCTTTACATTTAAGTGGCGGTCCGGGATAAGTGGACATCTCCCAGCCACCAACTTGTGCGGTAGTTAATATTTAACTCGGTTAAAGTCCCACGTAAAAGGTAGAAAAAAAAATACATCGCTAGGACGTTTTGATCGCAACACAAGCAAATCGTCATCAGGTGGGGGACAGCCACGGCAAGAGAAAATAAACTGCTGAAGTAGCACGGGGTAGTTAATAATCTTTTAGTTTGGAGTATAAAGTCGCGTAAGTGGAAAGTTTAAGTCAAAATTGATGTAGCAGTGGTTAAAGCGCTGCAAGGCTGACCACCGGGTACACTTGTGTTGTGTGACGCAGCAGCAGTTGTGTGACGCAGCAGTAAAACATCGGCACTAGGGAGAGACAAAGGCGGTCGGGGTTTTTGTGTGGTGGTGCTGCTGGGCCAGCCACTACCAACCAAGCACACAACCCCACCCCCTCTGTGCTACAGTGCTGATGGTAGCAGCCACTTGCTGCTACTATCAGCATAGTAGTAGCTACCTACTTGCTTGTGAGCACAGTAGCAGTAGCTACTTACTTCTGTGCTGATACTACTGGTAGTAGGAACATGCTTCCTTGCGGGAAAAATCTGCGTTTATAATGATGACCACTAACGATAAACAATATAGGGGGGGTGAAAAGGCCAATCTCGTGCGATTAGAGATGCGTAACACGCAGGGCCCGACTCCAGCAGTATCCCCAGTGCCTCGTGCAGCGATGAATGATGGTAGGCAGCTGCTTGCGAACGGTTTATTCTCCTACTCGCGCTACGCCGACGTAGCTTCGTCAACGCGATAATGTTATATACGCATTATCCCGATTCGCATATACCGCGCTCTCACGGAAGAAAAATGTCGTTTTTTTACCCCCCCCCCCCTTCAAAGCACGCATCCGTCACCGCGTTCTATACATTTTGACATAACGTCCCAATTCGCGTCGATGAATCCTTCATTCAATGCGGCAGAACTGACTTGTGTTTCTATACTTATACATTATTTCCTTTCGTTTAGCAATGGGAAGAAAGCAGACGTCACGGAGGAATCCAATGCGTCAGAGCAGGGGGAGGCCACACAGCAGAGTCCATCGCCACCACACACAGAGGCGCCTGGGTCTGGCATCGAATCGTGGCCCATCTTGCTGTGAGGCCTTGCGTTACTCTGCCCACCCACCCCCCCCTCCATTGCGCCCTCCTGATTGGTTGGCTTGTATCGAACGATAGCCAGCGTCGTTGCGATATGAGGCCCGTCCGCTATACGACCGGCTGAAATACATTGCTACGCACCATTTACTATCGTTGCTGATTAAAACAAAAATATCCGGATCTATAATACCGTAAACTATACGTATATTAAAAGAGGTAACCGGGGGGGAAAACTTTTTAACAGGAAAATTTATCTGAGAAACTCAAAGGTGTGTGTGCCGTATTAATAGCGAGCAAGTTGCACAACTGCAAATTAATTGTATCGCCCCGTAATTGAATACGTTAACGGACTAATTGGAATGTTTGTTTGGAGTGTTTGAATAATAACACTGATTTATTTTCGCGAACCCAGGCGCATCCTTCGTGTAACTCTTAATGGTATAACCCTAATGACCGCTGCTATATACTGTGAAGGTTCCCTTCGTCAGCTCACTGTGTGCGTCTCTGTGTCCGTGTCTCTCCCCACTCCGTGTCGCGTCTGTGTGGGTGTCTTTGTGCACAACAGGAAGATGTTTGTGGGAGGGTTGAGTTGGGAGACCTCCAAAAAGGACCTCAAGGACTACTTCAGCAAGTTTGGCGAAGTTGTCGACTGCACCATCAAAGTGGACCCAATGACCGGGCGGTCCCGGGGATTTGGCTTCGTCCTCTTCAAGGACCCTGGCAGCGTCGACAGGGTAAGGGGGGGCGATCCCTGTGCGCTTGCGACGGTTCTATTTTAGCACTCGTGGCTCCGTACGGCTCAAAAAGAAGTTGAGGCATTAGCACGGTCGGCTCCATATAGTGCCACAGAGTTCAACAAACGTGAGTTGTCACGGTTTGCTCTGTCATTGCGTGTACATACGTTGGCATGGGTAAGCTATGTATGGTGCCAAAAGTTATACGTACGGTGTAAGGTCTCAAGAGTTGCGTGGGGACCATTCCGTGTACCCCCCCCCGCATAAGAGCAAATTTGCAGACGTTAAGAGTAGCTATAACGATTGTGTGTGTGTATATACGCTACTATATACCACATTACTATTTACTGCTATTAATATATAAAAAGCCAAAACTCTTGATGGCACGCCAACTCTTAACGCTATCGTTAATAATCGTGAGCGGTTTAGAAGGTTGTCGAAATAATAGATCGCGTCGTCGGGTGGGTTACAACCACTGCAGTTTTTTCTTGCTGTGATTGTCCCACCTGACGAAGATTGCTTGTGCTGCGACCGAGGCATCGATCGATTATTTTTCTAACTCGTATTACTGTCCGTGTAATAGACACAATGCTGGAGATGCATGCCAAGTGTGTGTAAAAGTACTCGGGAGACCTTGCGTTAACGGACGATGACCTCCCTCCATCTCGCCCCCCCAGGTCCAGGACCACAAAGGACCACAAGCTGGACGGCCGCGTGATAGACCCCCAAGCGTGCGAAGGCCATGCGTCGCGAGCCCGTCAAGAAGGTGTTCGTGGGCGGCATGAGCCCAGACACGCCCGAGGATAAGATCCGCGAGTACTTCAGCAGCTACGGGGAGGTGCGTGGAGCGGCGCTCGCTGTGGATGGAAGCTCTCGCATTGAGCGGGGGGTGGCGTGGGGGGGGGGTCTCTGGTTGGGGGGGGGGGGGAGGTCTCTAGTCTCTGTAGGGTGGTGGTGGTGTTGGGGGTGTTTTCTGTAGGGTGGTGTTGGGGGGTCTCTGTAGGGTGGTGGGTGTTGGGGTTTCTGTAGGGTGGGTGGTGGTGGTGTTGGGGGTCTCTGTAGGGTGGTGGTGGTGGTGTTGGGGGTCTCTGTAGGGTGGTGTTGGGGGGGGGTCTCTGTAGGGTGGTGGTGTTGGGGGGGGTCTCTGTAGGGTGGTGGTGTTGGGGGGTCTCTGTAGGGTGGTGGTGTTGGGGGGTCTGTAGGGTGGTGGTGTTGGGGGGGTCTCTGTAGGGTGGTGGTGTTGGGGGGGTCTCTGTAGGGTGGTGGTGTTGGGGGGGTCTCTGTAGGGTGTGGTGTTGGGGGGGGGTCTCTGTAGGGTGGTGGTGTTGGGGGGGGTCTCTGTAGGGTGGTGGTGTTGGGGTGGGGTCCTCTGTAGGGTGGTGGTGTTGGGGTGGGGTCTCTAGGGTGGTGGTGTTGGGGCCTGTAGGGTGGTGGTGGTGTTGGGGCCTATAGGGTGGTGGTGTTGGGGCCTATAGGGTGGTGGTGTTGGGGCCTTTGGGTGGTGGTGTTGGGGCCTGTAGGGTGGTGGTGTTGGGGCCTGTAGGGTGGTGTTGGGGCCTGTAGGGTGGTGGTGTTGGGGCCTGTAGGGTGGTGGTGTTGGGGCCTGTAGGGTGGTGGTGTTGGGGCCTGTAGGGTGGTGGTGTTGGGGCCTGTAGGGTGGTGGTGTTGGGGCCTGTAGGGTGGTGGTGTTGGGGCCTGTAGGGTGGTGGTGTTGGGGCCTGTAGGGTGGTGGTGTTGGGGGCCTGAGTGGTGGTGGTGTTGGGGGCCTGAGTGGTGGTGGTGTTGGGGCCTGAGTGGTGGTGTGGTGGGGCCTATAGGGTGGGCGTGTCTCCCCCGTGCGTGCGCGCAGCAGATCGAGGCGATCGAGCTGCCCATGGACAGCAAGACGAGCAAGCGCCGCGGCTTCTGCTTCATCACCTTCAAGGAGGAGTCGTCGGTGAAGCGCTGCATGGAGAAGAAGTTCCACGATGTGGGCGCCAGCAAGGTGAGGGGCGGGACCCCCCCCCCCACGCCGCCTCCTCTCGTCGCTCTCTCCTGCCTATCCCCCTCTTTCTCCTGCCTCTATCCCAGGGGTGGGCACTTTTTTTTGACTCGTGGGCCACAATGGGTTCTAAAATTTGACGGGGGTAACCGGGCCAGGAACAGATGGACGGAGTGTTTGGTGTGAACTAAATATAAATGACGTGTAAACATCATTACGTGAAAGGATTGGCCTTTTAACAGGTAGCACAGCATTTGTTTTGCAAGGCAATTTAACAGATTGCACGAACATGGACGATTCAAAAACGTGTCGCAACTCCCGGTCAAAAGTGGCGCCATCTAATGGGGAAACGGGGGCATCACAGGAGAAGGGTAAAATTTAATTTAATATTTGGACAAGTTCGGCGGGCCGGATTAAAAAGGCCAACGGGGCGTGTACACCGCCCCAGGGGGGACCGTGCTGTGCCCACGTCTGCTCTATCCCCTCGCTTCCCCCTCATCTCGCCATCCCATTCTTCCCCTTGCGGCTCTCCCGCCTCTCCCCCCTCGTCTTGCTCTACTCGTCTCTCCGCCGCTTGGCTCCCACCGCCCAACGACTTTACTCTCACGCCTCCCACCGTTCAACCTCGCCATTCCCCCGCGTGTTTCCGCCGTGTGTCCTCGACGCGCGTGAGCAGTGCGAGATCAAGCTGGCCCAGCCCAAGGATGTCTACCAGCAGCAGCAGAGCGGCCGCGGCGGGCGCGGAGGCCGAGGGCGAGGAGGTGAAGGACACTGACGGCAATCGCGCACGCACACAACCACAACGCCCCCCTTGTGTAGCCCCCCTCCCTGCAGGTCGTGAAGGTGGCGTGCCCCCCCAAAGAATTTGGAGAGCAGTGGTTGTTCACCTGGGGTGCTGCGCACGTCTTTATCCCCCCTTTCTGGGGGTGCCAGCCATGCTGGATTTATACTTATATTAAAGGTAAACGCTCGAAGCGCGTTGAGGCACAGGGTGCAACGCAAGTTACAGCTACTTTTATAAATGATGGCGAGCCAAAGTGTGGGGGGATGATGTGGGTGCGGTGAAGGTTCTACAAACCACTGCTCCTCAAGAGTTTTGACTGCTGCTATGAATTTCCACACAACGATGATGACGAGCGCCTGCACGGCTCCCTCGCCTGCTACACACACGAGGGGGGGGGGGGGTCGTGGGTTCCGTCCCGTCGAGCAGCAGTCTGCCGCTTTGCTCTTTAAGTTTTACACGGCGACGATGGCGGTGACGGTCGCTCTTTTATTCAAATGGTGCTCCCGCGAACGGCTCTGGTGGGCAGTTGTTGCCCTGACCCCCCCCGGGGAAGTCTTCCCAACCAACCAACGCACCGGACTGCTCCACCACCACCCCCCCCTTCCCGAACGGTGGTGCCGTCCGCCGCTTGACGGCCCACGTCCCGCGCTCTTAACGGCCCCGCTGTGGTGCCCGGCGACTTGGCAGGTTCCGCCCAGGGCTACACGCAGGGCTACAGCGGTGGCGGGGGCGGCGGATACTACGGCCAGGGCGGATACGGGGGCTACGGCGGATACGGGCAGGGCTACGGCGGGTACGGGGGCTACCCCAACAGCTACGACTACACGGGCTACAACTACTACGGCTACGGACAGGGCAGCTACGGGGACTACGGAGGTACCAGGGGTGAGGGGGGGTGGTGTAGCCACGCGCTGTGGGCTACACGCGATGCTCGCTGGCATATACATTACACACGCTGGCATATACATTACACACGCTGGCATATACATTACACACGCTGGCATATACATTACACACGCTGGCATATACATTACACACGCTGACATATACATTACACACACTGGCATATACATTGTACACACGCTGGCATATACATTGTACACACACGCTGGCAGATACATTGTACACACACGCTGGCAGATACATTGTACACACACGCTGGCAGATACATTGTACACACGCTGGCATATACATTACACACAGGCCTGTACACTATACATGCTGGCCTATACGTTATACTCATCAGCCTGTGCCCTGTGTTTGTCCCGGCATCGTCATCCCCAGCAGGGCAGCAGGGCGGCTACGGCAAGGCCCCTCGCCGTGGAGGCACTCACCAGACGAGCTACCGGCCCTACTGAGCGGCCACCACCCCCAAAGGATTCGACGTGGGGCCTCCTCCCTACCGCGTGCACCCCCCCCTTCCCGTACCCGCTCCCCCTGACGTGCGGTGACCCCCCCCCCCTACCGGGCCAGAGTCTCTCTCCCTCTCTCCCTGCTGCCGGAGGCCCCCCCTACCGGAGAAGGTCCTCCCCTCGGCTCCTCGCTTTCCCGTCCGGCTCCTCGTCCGTGCCTGGGCTCCCGCGTTCTTCTCCCGCAGTCTTGGGGGGGACGGCGCGGGATAGCCCCTGGGTGGCGGACGAGGAGGGGGGATGGGGGTAATGATGATGAGTGGAGGGGAGGGATGGTGGGGGGGGGGAGTCTGGTTGAGGTAGGCTGGGAGGGGAGGGAGCTCTGGCACTGGAGGGTTTGGGTGGAAGGGGGGTGGAGGGAGGAGGCCCCACAAAGTGACTACGGTAAGCGAGAAAGGAGACGTGCGGGAGATTGTCGATATTATTCTATTGCCGATACATTTTTTTTAAGATGGGCGAGCGTGTGTCTAAACGACTATGGTGATATTGTTGCGATGTGTTTTGTTAAACTAATGCCAATGAGTGAGTTGGTGTTTTATCGGGCCACGGTAATTGATGCGATTCTTGAATTTCGAGGTTAATTGTTTTATGGGGTAATAACCGGTGTGTAAGTCTGCTTTTCTAATTTCAATTACTCGTTTCTTAACAGCGCTGCTCCTGTGTTGGGTTAAAGTGTAAACTTAATCCGTATTTTGTAAACGTGTAAAAAAGTGAAACTTTGTTAACGTAATCCTCCCTTGTTTACAGATAAATTTCTCTGATATTTGAGAAGACTTAACGCATTTTTTTAGCTTCCGTATTTTTCCTGGGAGAATTTGTACAATTTTGTGTTATTCTAAAACTGTCGTTTCTGAAATGCGTTTTTATTCACACGTGTGTGTTTGTCTTGTTCAACAAACCTAACCCACCCCCACCTCCAACCCCCCCCTCTCCCGTCCTTTCCTCACTGACCGGCCAAAGGAGTAACATTATTACAAATCTCGACAAACCAGTGGATGTGTATACACAAACATTTTTTTTCAGAGTCAAATCCTTCGAAAGGTGTTTTTCACCCTTTTTAGCTTCGCCCGAAACCCCCTACGGTTTAACAACGTCGGCTTTCGCGACCAATGTCATCCATAACAGTGACGAATTGGCACATTCTGTCTTGATTTGAAGCATCCGTGACTGCACGAATCCATACTCTTTCGGTAAAGTCCACGTAGGTAGAAGAATAGTGGATCACCACGTTCCGTTGGCAACGCACGCAATCGTCACGTTCTATTCACGCGACAACCCTTACTGCATGGCCACGTAGGGTGGTGGTGGGTTTTAACGACTCATTTTACATGGCAATCTGACCCAACAGAACCTCTATGGGTTAACTACCTCGCCTGGCATACAGAGGAAGGTCGTGGCTTCCATCCCGACCCCCTAAACGCCCGTGTTTAAAGTTTGCGACTTCTCCCTCCGAAGCCACGGGGATTTTTCTCCCCCCCCCCCCCGCCCCCAACATTTTCGGAATCTACATAACGCGTTCTTAAGTGTTAAGTATTTATTTATAAATTTCCATGTGTCGATAAGCCGCACTCGGTTAGCCTGTCATTTTGCGGTAGACAGGTCCGCTTCTGAAAGCGTTTGCGTAGCTCCACTGTTGCCTTGCCTGCCAAAACGAAAACGGTTCATTGGCAATCGTCACGTCGAATTGGAACTTGGTTGGTGCACCGCACAAAAGCCCATCCCGTGCTCAAGATAAGCACGGTCAACTTCCCACGGTCGGTCGTCCCGAGGGTGAAATCCTCGCCCGTTTTGGGAGTAACATCCTTCAACCCCTCCCGGCCCTCGCCCGCTGGTTTTGATCTGGGGAAACGTTTGCCTTGGAACGTTTTATTTTTTGGCCGCTCTGTGTGACCGACCGACGGCTGACCGACTCGCCTGTGACGACGATGACGATCTTTTGAAATGTTCCACCCCCTCCCCCCCTTCCCCATGTATACAGGGTTTTGAATCGCTGGCCCGTGGTCTGAGGTCTTTATGTTTATATATATAACGGCCGAGCTGAAGAAAGCCCCATCCTTTTTTATTTCCTCTATCCGTATGCGGTTTTTTTATTACGTGCGCGTAAAAAAAACGAGCGTCTCTCGTCACAACGTTTTTGTGCTCCCGTTTAAATTAAGCCGGCGGCGGAAAAGCGTTACCTCGCTTGGAAAAAGCGCATAAAGCAGATGGATTAATGTATTTATTTTAAATATCGAAAGCAGAGGTCGTATTAGAAAAACAGTAACGTCCCTCCGGAAGTTGCCGAAGTAAATTGAAAGTACAACCGCGTGTCTTACTAAAATGGCGTTTTGACGGTGAAAGTAAATCGCCTAACTCCGCCGAAAAGTAGAATTTATTGATTTACAGCAGTTGCGAAAAGCCGTCTACGTACCCGCCACAAACGTGTAAATCCTAACACGAGAGGGGGGGACCCAGTTACATTGTGTGCGTGCCGTCGTGTGTGTGTGCGCGCGTGCGTCAAGTTGGCGCAGGTGATGCCCCCATCGGCCAGTCATCTCCGGTCCCCTATGGCACCTGCAAGCTCTTGCCCCCTCCCCAACCCCCCTTGAGCTTCTGCCGGGAGAGCCTTGGACACTTGACGTGATAGCCCCGGTCCCCGGAGTGCACCAGGCCCCACCACCACAGGCAGCAGCAGCTGCGGCAAAGCCACCGGGTTTGGGGGGCTGGGGGGAGAGACGTGGACGGACAGGCGTAGATAGCGCTTGGCCTCCTGCTGCTGACCTTCCAGAAAGTGCTCGTGAGCTTGCACCACCCAACGGGGGTGTGTCTTGTTAGGGCTACGTGGCACGTGGGGTTTTCGTGCCCGAAGGCGCAGGGCATTCTGTTAGTGAAGTTGGCATTAGCCACATGGGGTGGTGGTGGTGGGGGGGTAGAGCGCCATAGTGTGGTTGGCGATCGGGGCGTTGGCGACTTTTATCCGCGGTGCCGGCCTCTCCGCTAGATCAACTCGGCCCTCCCCAAAATTGAGTTTGGTGCGCGCCAGTAGGTTGATCATCTGTCGTCACTTGGAGTGGGGGGGGGAGGAGGGGACAGGCGAAGGTGGTTGGGCTTGCGTGGTGCCGAAGTTTGTTGGGCAAGCGTCTTGGGAGAGTCTCGGTGTTTTGTCAGGTTGTATTTATTAGCTGTAGCCCCGCGAACCGTGCGGCTGTTGATTCGGGGCGAGAGCCGCGACAGACGGAGCGTGTTTTGAAGTGACGACGCGCAACAGGGAAAACATCCAGGGGGAGAAAAAAAAACCCGCAGAATCTTCCGCATAAAAGCACCGCGTATCAACGCTGCGTGCAAAAATCCAGCGGGATGCACGTTGAAGGATAACAACAACCGTGAGACAGATTAAAGTTATCAGGCTGACTCTGTACTTCAAACAAACATGGCTAATTCCGTGCGTTTTCAAAATCGCCAAAACAAAGCTATGAAAGCAATGTAATATAGTGGCGATAGGAACCGATTGCCATTTAACAATAAACGATACACCACGACATGTACAACCAAAAGAGAGGCGGGAGAGAGATAGGGGGGGGGAGGGTGGGGTGGAGTGTTTTAATCTGTAGGCGGTGAGTGGTGGTGGTGGTTTGCTGAGGTGAGAGGGGGGGGTGGTTTGGGGGGGCTTAAGGGGAATGACTCAAACGGAGAACCCATCACGGACCCAAATCCACCCTTTCCCTCTCCTGCCGCTGTGCCCCCCCCCCTTACCCCTCCCCCTTTCTCCCCCACCCCGCTCCCTCCACGCAGGGCTCCTGCGCGCTCGCTCGATCGATCGCTCGGGCCCGGAACCACAAAAAACCCCCCAAACCGTGCGCTTGTGGTACGGGCACCCCCCCTTCCTCCTCGTCCCTTCTCTCCCTTCTGAAATTTCTACCCCCGACCCACACCCCCCCTCCCCAACACACGGACGGCGCGCAAGCGATTTAGCCGTCCGTAGCGTCAGCTTTGCGTTTTTTTTACTTTTTGCCTCTACCCCCCACCCCCTTATCCCCCTCCTCCCGTCTTCTCGACGTAGTGATCGATCGTACCGTTAGTGATCGATCGTGCCGTTAGTGATCGATCGTCCGTACCGTTAGTGATCGATCGTCCGTACCGTTAGTGATCGATCGTCCGTACCGTTAGTGATCGATCGTCCGTACCGTTAGTGATCGTACCGTTAGTGATCGATCGTGCCCGTAGCCGCCCTCTAGAAAGGAATTGCAGTCCGCGGGGCAAAAATAACGAGTAACTAGCGCGGAGTTGAGGCGATTATGTAGTTTTTTTTACGTCGCGATACAAAGCGGGCATCGTTGGTTAAATAGCCGGGGAGCTTTTAATGTTTTTCCTTCCCCCCCTCCTCCCCTTTGACGTCGAGAGCAAAAACGAAACTTGTAAAAGTTGAAAATCGTGCGGCGTCAAAGTGTTTATTGTTAACGGTTAAAAGCGCTGTGTTTTTTGCACTTTTTTGCAGGTAACAAACTCCCCCCCCCCCTCCCCCAAATGTAGCTTCCTATGTCCCGTCGCTGCAAGTTTACCAGGATCGTAAACGTCGGATAATAACTATTTTTTTACGACCTTTTTCCCCAACCTCCCTCCCTCTCGCCCTCTTTACCTCTCCCATGCCCCTCTCTTTTTTTTGAATGAACGTTCCCCTTAAAATGAAATGTCTCGATGCGTTCTGATTGCTTTGTAAGGGACACACAAAAAAAACCTAAAAAATGCGTGTTTGTTTTTATGGCGCTGAAAATTGCGAAGGCTTTAATGTGAAATGGGGTTGGCGCGCTGTTTTTTTTTGTTTAATAACGGCAAAACCGGGTTGCGCCAACCCTGCGCGTTTTGCTTGGCAATAATGTGTTGTGTCGCGGAATGTCGCGGAGCGTTAGTTCACCGTTGTGCCATTTGTCGTTTAGCTCGTTGGGAAAAAACCTCCCGCTTGCTTGCTGGTAAACCACCACCGCAGGTTCTCTCGTGTTGGGCAGGAAAGCGGCGCGCCCTGTGGCCAAGACGGCGTTCGGAAAGTTGCCAAACACAATCGCCAACAAGCAAAAACCTCTTTTTTAAATTGGTTTGAGTTTCCAGGCCTTTTAAATTTGTTTTTATTTTTGCTTGCTTAGAGGAGGGGGAGATCGCGTTTTGTTTCCCGAAGTTTGAAGCGCGATTCGGAAACGAACTTAATCTTGACTTGAAACTTTTGTGAATGCAGGAATCCATACTCTTTGGTTCTTTTAGTAAAGTGGCAACGATTTTCGATCTCAACAAAGCCCCCCCCCCCCCCCTCGGATCTATATGATGCCCCCGGCGTGATGCTGAAAGAACCAAAACGATTTACATTTTTATATTTACCCTCCATGTCACGAATTTTGCGGACCGCCCTAAATCGTGAAGGTTACGCACGCGACCTTTCGCATCCGCGAATTAACCCCCACAGTCGGCTGTGTCCTCCGTGAGTGTCAAACGTGCTCTCCCCCTTCTGTAGTGTCGGTCTCGAGCAACGAGTGGGCAAAACCCCGAACCCCAGTATATCCCCCTTACACCCCGCGGTGACGATCCCCGTGCCACTTGTGTCGTGGGCTTGCTCTGTGCGTACACGGTGTTGTTTTTTTTGGTTGTTAAAAAGCAGCGGCAAAGGAGACTTCTCCCCCCCCCCTCTTTCTCACTCTCTCGTGTGTATAAAAGTGGAACTCCGGATTTGTCTGGAGGTAACCCAAGTCTGTCGATTACCTCCCCCAACCCCCGTTTCTCGTTTACAGTCCATCCCGCCCCCCCCGGTTTGCTCCGTAAAGCGCCAGTGGGGGGGGGGGGGGGCCCCCCATTGTTACTTGTCGACAGATTCGTAATTGTCTTGGTTCTTGACGTAAGGCTACTTTAAAGCTACCGACCATCGCCTCCATTCTCCCCCCCCCCCTATTTTACAGAGAGAGCCAGGGTTACTACGTGTGTGTGTTTCTGCTATGCTATTACTCTCCCTCCCCACCCCTCGTGTTAACCATGCGTCGATGTAATGTTAACGAGATGTAATGTTAACGAGATGTAATGTTAACGAGATGTAATGTTAACGAGATGTAATGTTAACGAGATGTAATGTTAACGAGATGTAATGTTAACGAGATGTAATGTTAACGTTAAACTTTTTCCAGGTTTTTTCCCCCCCTTAAAGGGGAGAGTGGGTCGTGGGGGGCGGAGGAGGGGGGGGGGTGTTTCTCCCCCCCCCCTGCTGCTAACTAACGCTGTTCTGTTGTCTCACGTCCCTTCTCTACAACCACAAACAGACGAAAGTTCATGCGTTTTGTATTTTTTTTAACGTCTGCGTAAAGTTGTCGCTACGCCCGTTTTCTGAGAAGGGGCCGGTACTTTACGTCGTTTTTGGTTTTTTGCTGTGCGCGCGAGAGTGGTTATTATTTTCCAAAAAGTCGTGTGGCACGGGGGTCGTCCCGTGGTTTGGGGCGAGGGAATTATTGCGTCAAAAGAGCTGGCCGAGCTTTAGCGCTACCGCTTTCCTGCCCAGCCCTGCCTTTATGGCGACGATGATATGAATGGTGGTGGTGTTGATTACGCGATAAGGATGTGGAAGTCCCCCTCCCTCCCTTCCCCCCCGTTCCTGTTGTCTAAAAAAAACAAATCCCAGCTAATTTTCAACCCGGTGACGATTGGGGGGCCCCCCCCCCCTGTTGTGCCGCTACTCGGCGAGACCTTTTAGTAGGTGGGGAGGTTGGATGATGAAAACCTTCCCATTTTTCACGGCCGCAGCCTGCTTTTTGCGCGAGGCCGATTCCACAGTTTTGGGGGGGACCACGTTACACGAATATATAATTAGAAAGCCGTCCGTGCAAAAATTGCAATTGCTTGAAAGGGTGGCAATTTTAATTGGCGAAATTATTACCGATTCTTTTTTTTAAATGCAGGCATGCACCGTCACCGGATCTGAGGTGTACGTGTCCTCCTCGTAAGCCGCATGGCTATCGCTGGCCCAGCGACCAAGTTACTTCTTCTTACCCTGTGGAAATTGGAACACCGTCGTCCCAAGGCAATCCTTATTTGTCGGTACCCCGGGGCACCAGGAAAGACTACAAATTGGCTGTGCTCACATTCTCATATTTTGGTGCTGGCCAAAGGAAGGTCCCCTGCCCCCCGTGATGACCGAAGTCTAGTTGCTCTTCCCAGGGGGGGTGTTGCAGCAATCGATCCCAAACATTGGCGTTGAGAAAAGAAAAAAAATTCCTTGCCGCATGAGAACGCGACCTTGAATGGTCGCGTTCCAGCCCGTCGCGACGAGTCACGCGGGGAGCCCCCCCGGGTCACCCCGGCCCACAGGGTTGTAATGTCGGGGCTCGAACCCACGACCTCTTGCGTACCGGGCGAGGTCGTTGGCATCCCTCCCCCTAGCCACCACCGCGGCAGGAACAATGTGGACGCCCCCTCCCCTCCCTCGGGACTTCCTCAGTCTTGCCGCCGCTGCTGCTGCCGCCGCCGCGTTTCTGTGTCCGCGGTCCGCGCGTCTCTGCGTCGTCTGCCCAGGTCGTGGTTTTTAACTTTTCTTTTCTGCCTCCCCTCCTCTCCCCCCCCACCCCCCTCCCCCGTCAGCTGGAGGCTGGAGGTCTGCGTCCCCGGCGAGCGAGCGGCACGACGTTTTGCCTCTCGTGTTCCGCCGTGGTCCGTTACAACACCCCCCCCCCCACCCACTCCCCACTCCGCCCGTTGTGGTTTTTTTTGTGTAGTTGCATTATTTTTTTCGCTATTGAAATGTCTTTTGATTTGGTAGAGTTTTCATTTTTTTAAGCAAAAACGAAGCCCCGCCCCGCCATCGGTTCCTCCTATCCCTCCCCCCCCCCCCCACTCGTTCCTTTTTACCCCCTCCGACCCGTAATCCGCATTTTGAAAGTTAATGAATAATAAATAAGTCCCGAGTGTGTAAAAAAACGTAACGTGCTTTTTGTAGCGGGTCTGTTATTTTACCGGTTTCTACCGTTGTCGTTGTTGTGGTTTTTTATTGTTATGGAAAGGCTTTTTTTTAAAGAGATTCTACATTGGGGGGGGGGGGGCAGGGGTTTGGGGGAGTGGGGGTATGAGTTTGCAGCGCAAAGCAAAAATAAGTTTGTCCCAGAAATGTTTTAAACCGAACTTTACCTAAATCTGGGAGGGGGGGGGGGCTGGGAGGGTGAAAAAGAATTTTAAAAAATTTCATTCCCTTGGACATTTCCGAACCATTTTTGCCAGTATTGTGTTCGTCACACTGCAACCTTTTTTTTTAAGAAAATAAAATTCAAAATGCCTACACCCCCCACTTGTTTTCACTACCTTAGGGGGACGCATCCCTCCCACACACCCTCTCCACCCCACAGTTACCCCGCCCCCCTGGCCAGGGGCTTCACTTTGTCCATTTTTACCGAGCCTAGTGGTGGTGGTGATGAGATGGCGTCAATATAAAATGCGTGTTGCTGGACCCCGGCACGGCCACATCGGGTGAGGAGTTTTGTCAACGTGGCCCAAATCTTGTGGTCGCTAGTTCGGCGCTTGTGACCGTGTCGAGACGAGTTACGGCGATAAATCGCGACGCGAGTGGTCGTCCTCCAGGAGTGGAGATCGAAACGTAGTGATTGTTAGTTTGTCTGCCTACGTGGACTTTACCCGAAATAATCAAAAGTGCGTGGATTCCTGCAGTCCCGAAAGCTTTGAATCGAGGTTGAAAAGTTAAACTCGCGTTTGCGATTCCAGTACCACGTTTACTTGCACGCGCTGTGAGGTGGGCACGTTCTTCATTTACGTGGCAAACTTTGCTGATTTTTATTTTTACTCTCTGGTCGTTCTTTCGGCAAAGTCGCGTAGAAAATAAAATCGAATAATAATAGGATAGGCCACTTCGGTTGCAACACAAGCAGACACCAGGATACAACACGAACACAGTCACACAGATAAACACCAAGATACAACAGACACACCAAGATACATCACAGACAACAGTCAGACACACCAAGATACAACACTGACACAACAGACGGCGACGGACACACCAAGATACAACAGTCACACATGCAGAGACAGACACACCAAGATACAACACAGACAACAGTCAGACACATGCAGAGACAGACACGCCAAGATACAACTGACACAACAGTCAGACATGCAGAGACACACCAAGATACAACACAGACAACAGTCAGACATACAGAGAGACAGACACCAAGATACAACACAGACACAACAGTCTGACACAGACACACCAAGATACAACACTGACACAACAGTCGGACACCTACAGAGACACAGACACACCAAGATACAACAGACAACAGTCAGACACATGTAGAGACACAGACACACCAAGATACAACACTGACACAACAGTCAGACACAGACACAACAGTCAGACACACCAAGATACAACAGACACAACAGTCAGACATGCAGAGAGACAGACACCAAGATACAACACAGACACAAGTCAGACACAGAGACACACCAAGATACAACACAAACAGTCAGAGGCAGACACACCAAGATACAACACTGACACAACAGTCAGAGACAGACACCAAGATACAACACTGACACAACAGTCAGACAGACACCAAGATACAACACTGACACTACAGTCAGACACATGCAGAGAGACGCACCAAGATACAACACTGACAACAGAGAGCGACGGACACACCAAGATACAACAGACAACAGTCGGACACACCAAGATACAACACTGACACGTCAGACAGACGGACACACCAAGATACAACACAGACACAACAGTCGGACACATGCAGAGACAGACACACCAAGATACAACACTGACACAACAGACACATACAGAGACACAGACACACCAAGATACAACACTGACACAACAGTCAGACACACAGCAAGTTACACAACAGTCACACATGCCGAGACAGACACACCAAGATACAACAGTCAGACATGCAGAGACAGACACAAAGATACACTGACACAACAGTCGGACATACAGAGACAGACACCAAGATACAACACTAACAACAGTCAGAGAGACAGACACCAGGCTACAACACTGACAACAGTCAGACACATGCAGAGAGACGCCAAGATACAACACTAACACAACAGTTAGACATACAGAGACACAGACACACCAAGATACAACACTGACACAACAGTCAGACATACAGAGACACAGACACCAAGATACAACACTGACAACAGTCAGATACAGAGACAGACACACCAAGATACAACACAGACAACAGTCGGACACATACAGAGAGACAGACACCAAGATACAACACTGACAACAGTCGGACACATGCAGAGACAGACACACCAAGATACAACACAGACAACAGTCGGACACATACAGAGAGACAGACACACCAAGAATCAACACTGACAACAGTCGGACACATGCAGAGACAGACACACCAAGATACAACACTGACAACAGTCAGACACACGCAGAGACACACACCAAGATACAACACAGACACAACAGTCAGACATACAGAGAGACAGACAGACCAAGATACAACACAGAAACAACAGTCAGACACATGTAGAGACACAGACACACCAATATACAACACAGACACAACAGCCAGACACATGCAGAGAGACACACACACCAAGATACAACACTGACACAACAGCCAGACACATGCAGAGACACACACCAAGATACAACACAGACACAACAGTCAGACACATGTAGAGACAGACACACCAATATACAACACAGACACAACAGTCAGACACATGCAGAGAGACATACACACCAAGACACAACACTGACACTACAGTCAGACACATGCAGAGACACAGACACACCAAGGTACAACACTGACACAACAGACAAATACAGAGACACAGACACACCAAGATACAACAGTCACACATGCAGAGACAGACACACCAAGATACAACACAGACAACAGTCAGACACATGCAGAGACAGACACGCCAAGATACAACTGACAACAGTCAGACATGCAGAGACACACACCAAGATACAACACAGACAACAGTCAGACATACAGAGAGACAGACACCAAGATACAACACAGACATAACAGTCTGACACAGACACACCAAGATACAACACTGACAACAGAGACAGACACCAAGATACAACACTGACACAACAGTCAGACATACAAAGACACAGACACACCAAGATACAACACTGACACAACAGTCAGACACATACAGTCAGACACAGACACACCAAGATACAACACAGACACAACAGTCAGACATGCAGAGAGACAGACACCAAGATACAACACAGACACAAGTCAGACACAGAGACACACACCAAGATACAACACAGACAACAGTCAGAGGCAGACACACCAAGATACAACACTGACACAACAGTCAGACAGACACCAAGATACAACACTGACACAACAGTCAGAGACAGACACCAAGATACAACACTGACACTACAGTCAGACACATGCAGAGAGACACACCAAGATACAACACTGACAACAGAGAGCGACGGACACACCAAGATACAACAGACAACAGTCGGACACACCAAGATACAACACTGACACGTCAGACAGACGGACACACCAAGATACAACACAGACACAACAGACACATGCAGAGACAGACACACCAAGATACAACACTGACACAACAGACACATACAGAGACACAGACACACCAAGATACAACACTGACACAACAGTCAGACACACAGCAAGTTACACAACAGTCACACATGCCGAGACAGACACACCAAGATACAACAGTCAGACATGCAGAGACAGACACAAAGATACACTGCCACAACAGTCGGACAAACAGAGACAGACACCAAGATACAACACTGACAACAGTCAGAGAGACAGACACCAGGCTACAACACTGACAACAGTCAGACACATGCAGAGAGACGCCAAGATACAACACTAACAACAGTTAGACATACAGAGACAGACACACCAAGATACAACACTGACACAACAGTCAGACATACAGAGACACAGACACCAAGATACAACACTGACAACAGTCAGATACAGAGACAGACACACCAAGATACAACACAGACAACAGTCGGACACATACAGAGAGACAGACACACCAAGATACAACACTGACAACAGTCAGACACATACAGAGAGACAGACACACCAACATACAACACAGACACAACAGTCATACATACAGAGAGACAGACACACCAAGATACAATACAGACGCAACAGTCAGACACAGAGACAGACACACCAAGACACAACACTGACAACAGTCAGAGACAGACACACCAAGATACAACACTGACACAACAGTCAGACACAGACACCAAGATACAACACAGACAACAGTCAGACACAGAGACAGACACCAAGATACAACACTGACAACAGTCAGACATACAGAGACACAGACACACCGAGATACAACACAGACACAACAGTTAGACATACAGAGACACAGACACACCAAGATACAACACTGACAACAGTCAGATACAGAGACACAGACACCAAGATACAACACTGACACAACAGTCAGATACAGAGACACAGACACCAAGATACAACACTGACACAACAGTCAGATACAGAGACACACCAAGATACAACACTGACACAACAGTCAGACATACAGAGACACAGACACACCAAGATACAACACTGACAACAGTCAGATACAGAGACACAGACACCAAGATACAACACTGACACAACAGTCAGATACAGACACAGACACACCAAGATACAACACTGACACAACAGTCAGACACATACAGAGAGACAGACACACCAAGATACAACACAGACACAACAGTCAGACATGCAGAGAGACAGACACCAAGATACAACACAGACACAACAGTCAGACACAGAGACAGACACACCAAGATACAACACAGACACGCAGAGAGACAGACACACCAAGATACAACAGTCAGACAGACACCAAGATACAACACTGACACAACAGTCAGACACAGACACACCAAGATACAACACTGACACAACAGTCAGACACACACCAAGATACAACACAGACACAACAGTCACACATGCAGAGACATACACACCAAGAATCAACACTGACACAACAGTCAGACACATGCAGAGACACAGACACACCAAGATACAACACTGACAACAGTCAGACACATACAGAGAGACGGACACACCAAGATACAACACAAACAACAGTCAGACACGCAGAGAGACAGACACACCAAGATACAACACTGACACAACAGTCAGACAGAGACAGACACAAAGATACAACACGAACACAACAGTCAGACATACAGAGACAGACACACCAAG